TACACACCGACTTATAGCATATACCTCCGCCTGGAATATGCTAGGAAAACTTCCCATGGGAATGGAGAGCTTGGTGCCTGGTCCTGCGACCAATGCGTCAATCCCCTTCGCCGTTTTCTAGCCGTCGGTGTACCGCTTGATAGTACTGCTCCTTAGTAGTAGGTCCAGCGTGGAATCGTTCCAGTCTGCCTTACTGCCAAGGGTAACCCCGAACTTCCTAGTGAAGCTTACTGTTTTGGAAATGCTTTCCCTCGGAAGAAGGGCCAGTGGCATTGCGTCACTTAGGGCCTTCATCTGCTGGAACGAGATTACCTTCCCTTTGCCAAACCCTTCTGCTGACATTTGAAGCAAGGTCTGTTTGGCCGTCTGCTCGATCACTATATGTAACGGTGTTAGCTCCAGCATTACTTCCAGTGCTGCAGTCGAACACGTACGCATCGCGCCCGAAGCGCAGATGCAGGCAAGTCGTTGCAGCCTCGATAGTCGAAGTCCTACCGAGGTCTGCGATGCTTTGGAACCCCAGGCCACCGCTCCATATGTTATGATCACGCTCTCGTGGGACGTATTGTCAAAAGCACCTTCGATGTCAAGGAAGGCGCATAACAACACCTCACCCCTGTCTAACGAACTCCGGATATCTGAGGTCAGCTGATATAGAGCAGTATTGGTTGATCTGCCTGCTCTGTAAGCATGCTGCATCGCGTGTAGCGGTGCAGCTTTCAGCACCTTCGATCTTATTTCGTGGTCAATGATATCTTCCATGCTTTTCAGTAGGGAGGAAGTTAGACTTTGAACAGTTACATTAGGGACGCGTATGACCTATTGGTGGATTGTATTATATTTTCGATGCTCAGGTATGTTAAATTATCGCTACTCAGTTTTAAGCCCAGGTAAGTAAAGGCTTTCACAGTTTCAAAAGTGTATTGGGAAATTTTCACTCTAGGTGATACTATTTTTCTGGACATCATTATATATTTCGTTTTATCTTCGTTGATTTTTAGGGCAATTTGGCTAGCTGCCACTTCAATATCGGCAAAAGTTTTGGACAGGGCGTGGATGTTTTTGCTGACTGTAGAGATGTCGTCTGCATATTAGTTCTTTTTGCGTCACTTATGTCGTAAAAGGCACAGCATACCAATTCGTTGAATATTGTGTATGATAGCGTATCTCCCTGTCTTACTCCAGACTTAATTCTGAACATTTGGACTTACGTTCTTGTATCATTACTTTTGACAGGGTTTTGCGTAAAGATATTTCAATTTTATTAAGGTCTTCTTTTGTTTTGCAGTTCCAGTTGTGAGGATAGTCTTTCTGATAATGCTCTCGAATACTTGCTTAAAATCAATAAATAGCATATGGTATGTATCAACACTGTTCTCATAACATTTCTCCATGAACTGTTAGAGGGCAAACATTTGGTCTACTGTTGACCTTCCGGGCCTAAAACCGCATTTATATTCAGTGAGGAGTTTTTCTGTAAGGTTTATGAGTCTTCTGTTCACATTTCTCGCAAATATTTGGTATATCGTGTTGGGAAGGGAAACTCGGCGGTGATTATTGCAGTCTTATATATAGCTTTTTTTTAGAATGGAGATTATTATTGCTGTATTCCAATTTTCTTGCAGGGATTCACTGTTCCAGATCAATGTTGTCAGGTGATGATTTCTTTAACAGGATGTTTGCTTTTCTATGAGTTCAGCTGTTGTATTATCCTCCCCTGGCGACTTGAAGTTTATCATGTGTTTGATCGCACTTCGTATTGATGCTGGCTGCTCATTAGGACAGTCAGACACTGCGTTGCTCGCCTACTAACATTAAACAGTTCTTTGAAATGTTCAACCCACCTCTTTACTCTATTACTTTATTTCCTTCTTATCTGTAAGTATTTCGCCATTTTTGCTTTTTCATATGTTTACCCACGGTTGAAGTCTTCGTTTTTCTACCTTAGATTTTCTATAAAATTTGATCACATGGTTTCTAGCGCTTTCCTCATGGATTTTTTTTCTTTTTCTGACACGCTTTCAATTTATAATTCTTCTACTAGTGTTCCATATTTTTCTTTTAACTCTTATACTGCGCACGTCGGTTATGCAGCTTTTTCTTGGGCGATTGATAAAATCGTGGTCAATTTCATTCACTTCATTGCTTCCGGGTATCTTCCACGTCCCTTTGTGTATTTTCTTGTGAGGAAACGCAGTACTCGCAATGAATGTTTTTGTTTGCGATGTTGCAGATGCGTCTGCCGTTGTCGGATGTCTTTCATGGAGTAAGTGTTTAGAGGCAACATTTCTGTTGCAACTTTCAATGGCTACTTTCGTATTAAAATCACCTAGGAAGACAGTTGTGTCATATTTACATATTTAGTTGTATGTGTCTGCTAGTTTTGTATGTAATGAGTCTTTATTATTTTCGTTTGGGGCTTATGCTGATATCAAAGTTAAGTTGCTATAAGGCCCTTTAAGGCGCAATTTAGAGAGTTTGTCGTTCACTGGTTCGAAGAATAGTATTTTATTTCTTATTTTTGCGTTTGTCCAGAAACCAGTGCCGTTTCTACCCGATTGGTTTTCTGTGCCACAACTAAACAAGTCTTGTTTCTTTTTACGAAATTCTAAAAAAATCCTTCTAACGTACTTCGTGGAGGCTCACGATCATCTCAAAGACGCGATTTCTTTAATTTTAGCAGCTTGTACCATAGTCCTTATATTCCATGAGCCGAGTTTCCATTCATTATACTTTTCTCGAGTTTTCCGGCCGTCAACGTTGTTTTGGGTTGTTCTCCGAGGCACTTGTGTTGCTTTCATGACAAATAATTATTTAAGCCGAACCCCACCCACGGCAGCTTGGCATACCTAATGCTGTCATTGTGTATTGCAATTTAAAATTGTTTTTTTCATTAAGTCATAAAATTGATTAGAAAAAAATGTGCCCTAAAACTTTAACCGTTAATATCTTTTAAACTGTTAGCGCCACGAAAAAAAACTTGAAGGACCATTTTGTAGAGCATTCAATTTCGTAAAAAAGCGGAAAAAAATTTCAGTTTTGTGGAAACGAGATATGAATTTTTCTTTCTCATTTTTCAGAGTACCAAGCCAAAAAAAATATTCGCTTTTTTTACCCACCCTAATTTGTATATATATATTTATATATTATTTGTATATATATATTTATATATTATATGTAAATATATATTTAGATATAGATACAGCCGCACGAGCCTTAACGTTTTCGAGATATCCACATTTAAATTATAAAAATTCACATATTAGGATATAATTTTTCATTGTATTATAAATTATACCCACATATAATTCAAGTTAGTTTTTACATAGCTATTGAAAATTATTAGTTCATAAAAAATTTAAATCGTAATTAATATATCTTTCAATTTGACTTATTTACACAATAATAAATGGGTTGCATGTAAACAAATAATAAGTGTTACAATACCCATAATTTACAAACGAACAAAAATACGTAAATACATATGTACATATATTCTGAATCTGGAGAACTTTATCTATCCGCCCATACCCATTTTATTCCCGATTTCGGGGGATGCTATACTAAATCCTAGCCTTATTTTACATTATAAGGAATTTGACTACAGTCTTTAATTTAAGCCGGGATTCCCCGAAATTGTGCATCCGTGATACATATACCTATATTAATTTAATCAATGGACCAAGGCGGTAAATCCAATTTCAAGGATTACTTATGGCAAACATTTAAGCAGATGTCTAAAAAAATTGACGGAGAAGAGAAACAATCAAAAAAGAGATTTGGAAAAACTTGAATACTGTAGAAAACATAAACCTTAATCGGATTGAGATAACAGAAAGAACTTTGAAAGGATTATGGAAGAACATTTAGCCACATTTAAGTGAGAGCCAAGACATTGGTCACTTTGTCGATATGAAAATAGGGTTCAATGAAGTATTTGTCTTTATAATGATGAACTCAAGGAATTAGCTGAACAAGAAAAAAAACAAAAATATTGACGTGATTGCGAAGAAGCAAAAATAATGGTCGATGGCGTTTGTAAAACAGATTTTGACCACTATAACAGCAATTTTGGACAAATTTATTGAAAATGATCAAAATTTTGACAAAATTTCAAATGAGACGGAGAATTATAGATGATTTATCCACTTACGAGTACTTCTGATAGCATCCCCCGAATACGGCGATATAGTTGGTATGGGCGTATTTATGATATTTTTCAGATTTAGATTGGTCGGTCCGAAAATTCTGTGAGTGGAAAGTAAAATTTTTTTTTAACTTCCCGCTAAGAAAATTGAAAATTTTCTAAAAATCGGGAAGATATTGGTTTCACCCCATTTTGCAAAAATCGAGTTCTCAACAGATCTCAACGTTTTGAGGGTCGAGGAAGCTTCTCCGAACATTTCTACGATGATGTCCGTATGTCTGTATGTATGTGTGTGGATGTATGTGACCCTCTTATAACTTTAAAACGGCTCAACCGATTTGAATAAACTAAACGGCATTCCAAAGGGTTTCATTGCACTTGAATTTCGTGTGAGTTTGGACCCAATCGGACCAGTAGATTTTGAGAAATCTCAAAAAAAAAAGTCCTTTCACGTCGAACTCCTTACTGCACGTAAAAGAGCTATGGACACCCCGGTGTTAGACCGACCGGGATATTTTCTTGAACCGCGGTCGAAGATGCCTAGTGCTGTAAGGATGTACGAAATAATTTTAAGCATACACATATTTTTTCTTTAAAAACTCCATATAAATTGGTGTTTTGAATATATTTTAATATGTACAGTATAATTACAAAAAATTTAGTGGAAAAATGTGTGCAAAGCGTGGTAAAAATATGTTTATATATGTATGTATTTGTATATTAAAAAAAAAATTTTACTTTCCACTCACAGAATTTTCATTTTCGTGGCCTCCTTCATTGAGGGACCTAAACTATACATTAACCATATATATTGACCTAAGTGAGCATGAACTTTAATTCCAAGATTTTATTAACCGAGTGTGAACACAATGGAGAATGGCAAAATAAAATCGATATTAATCAAAAGTATTCGGCGTGAAATCGCAGCCAATTGGATTATCCGAATTGTTGTATGCAAACTGTTTGTTATACCTTTAGAAATGAAGGAGTTTGAGCAAAGTTCTTCCGAAATTGTATCGACAAAATTTAAAAATGTTGGAAGTAGTTACTTAAAATTAAAAGAATCGAAAGAAATAAAGCACAGTATATGCAATATATCAGAAATGCTTAATACAGGGCTCGACTCACATATGCTAGAGATTTGCATAAAGTTGTTGGAAACAGGCATACATCCTCAAGCAATAGCGGAAGTTATTTTCAAGATAAGGCAGAACCTTCAGTGCGATATTGCTTCATGATTCAATTAAAATATAATATTTGGAGAAACTTTTGTTTTAGATCTCTGGTTGGCAAACTTTTTGCAATGGTTATGAAGAAATACATCTAAAAAAGGTGACATGGTATGAATTAAATTGCAGAAACATTGCTGTAACGTGCATTTAAAGTTGCTTAAATAAATTATCAGTAAAATTCACTTTTTTTTTTGTTAACATGTATAGATCTAACCACATCAAATACTCATAGAATAAATTCAGTCTTTCGTTTCATTAATAGTTGTGGCGTTTTTTTTTCAGTAACAGTAAAAACTATGCATTTAAGTTATAATGTTAGGGTTGGCTTAAGAATACCGTCTCAGGATTTCGCGGATAAAATTGGTGGGGAAGCTTTAGTATACCATCCCACGATTTCGGGATTAAAGTGGGTATAATTGGATAGAGGATATTCTCCGGATCACGAATATATCTAATTACAACGTCTGGAATCCTATAGCTTTCCAGATATTTGCATTTTAAGTTGAACATTTTAAAAATTTTATCTTGCAATTTCTCGATTTATAGCTAACTTTTCGGGTCGGCTTTAGTATACCGTCCCAGGCTTTTGGGGTTAAAATAGGTATGGGAGGATAGAGGAGATCCTCCAGATCTAGAATATATATAGACATAGCCGCGGGAAACTTATAGTTTTTGAGATATTTACGTTTAAAGTTGAAATTTTCAACAATTTAAAGTTAGTATTTTTGCATATATATACACTTATATTTTTCACTTTTATATCAGATCCTGCAAAAATTGTTTTATATCAATATTTAAATTATTCTTCAATTTGATTAATTTTGACAATAATAAAAGGGATATAAATGTCAAAACACTAGTGTTGCCATACTAATATATTTTGCAAATGAAGAAAAATAATATAAAAGAAAGAAGTTCTGCGCGAAGAAAAGTTTGATACACCCCGGTGTTGGACCGACCGGGGGTATTTTTTGAAGCGCGGCCGAAGGCCGCCAACGCAATAAGAAGTTCTACCTAAAAAGACCTTGGTACACCCCGTTGTTGGACCGACCAGGGTTATTTTTTTGAAGCGCGGCCGAAAGTCGCCAACGCTAAAAGAAGTTCTACAAGATAAAATAATATTGTCATAGAGGGTATAACATAATACTTAACATCAATGCTCTCTAATAGTTTATTTCTCTAGGTTTTGGATTCCTGTATTTGGGGTATTATCTCTTTTCATTTCTTTCAGTTCAACTACAAAAGATGTCGATAAGGTAACACTGGTTATTTGACATTTTGCAACCCTTTTGTTATTGTCAGAATGCGAAAAAAATGTTATCATAGAGAGTATAACATTATCTTCAAAATTAATGTTCTCTAACTGATATTATTACTGCTACTTTTGAAACAATGTACAGTGTCGTTTTATTATATTGGAATAATTTCCTTCTATTTTATATCTTTAGGTTTTGGATTCCTGTATTTAGGGTATAATATGTTTACTTTATTTCTTTCAGTTCATTTACAAAAGATGTCGATAAGGTAACACTGTTGTTTTTTTTTTGTCATTTTGCAACTCTTTTGCTATTGTGTGAATTAATAGAACTAAACAATAAGTTAGATATTGGAATAAAGCTATTTTTGCACTATATAATGTAAAATGAATATGATCAAACGAATTAGTGAAGTATTAGTGTATACTGTTTAGGATTATTTACGTTAGTTTAAGTTTATTTTCTAATAATGTCAAGTTTTGATCTAGCAATACTGTCTTATCTAAGTTTTATATTTGTCATCTCTCGTTTATCATTAATTTCCTGTACAATTATCTTTGTTTATGCATATTTAAAGTTACGATATTTTAAATTCCGTTGAACTCCTATAAACGTCGGAGGACATGTGTATACGATTTCTTCTCTGATTGTAACTCGGTGCTGGTTGTACTTATCTCTGGTTTGGTGTCAAGCAAACCGTTCACACTCGTACAATACCCAATAAAGCATTGAGAACTCTACCCGCTGGTAAATTAATTATTTAACATTTTGGTGCCTCCTGTGACGACAAATATTTTTTAATTTCGTTTTGTAATTGCGGTTTTGGGATTAATGGCTTACCTCAATTGGCGTACATTAGCAGTGAAAGCAATAAAGCGCATACATGCACGTGTCTCGGAAGGGGCCATGGAAGGTCGTGATGTGTTTCACTTTCAACAGGACATTGATTTGGTGGACAACCGGTTTGCTACGCCTGGAACTATCGGCGCTGACGTGTGGGGGCGACTCATAGAAGGTGGAGGACCAAACGAACTTTTTGCCCAGCGTACTTTGGGGTGGTGGTTTTGGATGGGTGGTTTTTGGTTCAGCAGCAGTGACCTTTCCTGCAAAGGAATCATTTCTCCAATTCACCACTTCGCTAGACAGGGAGGACCACTGGTTGGAGGAACTGTTGTCCAACTTTTGGCAAATGGAGGAAATCGCAGTGTTTGATGATCTGCTAGAGAATAAATGTGGGAAGATCTTCGAGACCACTTATAGCCGTACCTCATACGGCCGTTATATCGTACACTTACGCTTTCGACGAAAGGCAACGGGATTAGGTGACTCCTACGCACTGGCATTTCATAGGCTAGAGCGGCGCATGGTTGCGGATCCAGTCCTTAAGCAAAACTACATTTCATTTATGAGGGAGTATGCAGCACTCGGACACATGGAACTAGTACAACCACCTTACGATCATACTAATTGCTAATACATTCCTCATCATGCGGTCACATCGTAGTTCCGCGTGGTGTTCAACTGGTAGGTCCAACAATTCAGAATTCACTGAGTAGTATACTTTTACGTTTTCGTCTCTGTCGAATGGCGATAACTGCGGACATAGAGAAGATAGAGAAGATGTTCAGGCAAGAGTTAGTTGCATCTGAACATCGTGACTATCAACGAATAATATGGCAAGAGTCTTCTGAAGACGAGATCCGGGTGTATCGCCTGAAGACCATCACATATGTCATGCCATGCAGTCCTTACAATGCAGTACGAACCCTACAACATTCATTCCCTTTACAATTATCATACATATGTGTACGATTTCTTCTCTGATTGTAACTCGGTGCTGATTGTAATCATCTTTGGTTTGGTGTCAAGCAAACCGTTCACAACCGTACAAATCCCAAAAAGCATTGAGAACTCAAACCGCTGGTAAATTAATTATTTAACATATATAAAAGTGAAAAATATAAGTGTAAAATTCATTTAGAATCGAAAAAATACGTACATTAAATAGTTAAAATTTTCAACTTTCAACGCAAATATCTCGAAATCTACAAATTATATATCTGGATATATAAATATATAGGTATCTCCTCTATTCGCTATACCCATGTTATTCCCGAAATCCTGGGACGGTATTCTAAAGTTTTCCCAATTTTAAATAGAGTAAAACCAATCTTGTTATCAGGCGAAAGGGTAAAGGGTAAATAATAAAAGCTCATTTGCCGATAAATGAATTTATTGCATACATACCATTGACCTTACTAAATATATAAATTTAGTTGCCGCTGTTTAAGCAAATTGAACATTTAAATTCCAAAAATTCAACAAATGGTTAGTTTTATTGAAGCGCGGCCGAAGTCCGCCTACCTTGTAACTCACTCTTGAGTTCGATCACTGGATTGTTTAAAAAGTCTCAATTTAATGCTATACAGTTATCTTTATTTCTAATTCCAACAACTTAACGCTTATTGCTCGTTTTTCGAGTTTACAACTTATTGTTTATAGCCCAATTGCTCATTACACCGCAACACTCTAAATAGAATTGTGTTTGCTGCAAAATCCGGCATCCCTTATATAGTAGATCTTTAACAAAACATCGCTTCTAAAACATTCTGGCAACTGGGAATTTCGCTAACTAATTTATTCTGGCAATTTATAGTCGATTTTGTTCTATCATCAGTGTTCGTCACACTTCCCTCCACCTAAGTCTGATGGTCCGATTAGGCATATATGCGGTACCAATCACAACTTCCTTAGCCAACCTTCTGTTATTGGAGTTAATTCCATCTGTTTTTCGGACACCCAGTTTCTAGTACATCCCTTCACTTTAAGCTGACTCGAAATTCCTTCTTGATCAGAACATAACTCCATTTGAACACCGAATCGCGTTACCCACTTGTTGATGAATGCGATAGAAATAGACCATCCACACTCATGAAAATTCCCCCAAATAGCGCACCCGAATTTTACTGCTTCATCTTGCCATGACTCTTGAACCTCAATCCTTCAGCGTATTTGGCAATTCTGACTGATTGACGAGAAGCAACCGAATAAAATCTTTGCTTTAATTTCTCCAAGGTTGTCGTGATTCTCAAGTGCCCTCCACTTGGACCGTTATGCAGACCGTTGCCCATTTTTGCTCTTACTCGATGCAAGAAGCAACTGAGCTTTCTGCAGTTATATCTCCACTGGTTGTTGTCAATTCCACTTCATGCATGACACCATGCAAATTTGGATCTTCTTGCAAAGACTCACCCGTTTCAGCTTTAATTTCTTCGTGCTCTTTCACTTGTGCTGGTATACAAGCTTCTTGCTCTTCTGACTGTGAGGAACATTTTATTGGTACACAAGCTTCTTGCTCTTTTGTGAGGACACCTGCGCTGAACAATATCACAATCCGACAGTCCTTATATAGTTTATTGTTAACTAAACTTCGCAACTCGAACATTTTACCAATTACGAATTTCGCAATCTAGTTATTTTTTAGCAGTTTATCGTCGATTCTGATTTGTTCTGGGATTCGTGTTCGCCACAATATATTATACTGCTCTACTTTGCCAACTATTTTGGAAAACTATATGTTACTCTTTGGTTAACAGCTTCCTTTCCATTGGCTTTTTGTTTGGTGAACCATCTGTTACTGAAAATAGTTTGTTTGGTTATTGCTATGGTTACCTTTAAGTTACAGAAATCTGGTTCATAGTTTATTCGTTTGGTTAACCATTGGTTACAGAAAATTGGTTGATCGATTACCTCGTCAGCTTCTAAGGGTTATTTGTTTGGTTATTTATTGATTACCACTGCCGAACGTACCGGTTACCTTTTTCTTTATAAATAAAACAATTTAATTTTTATTTATTTAATTTAATTTTTTGTAAATTTATACATTCTGGTTCTATTTTTCATTTCTATTATGACAAACTTTTAGTAATTATTTTAGTTTAGCTTTTAATTATTAGCATTTATATATACTATACATGTATATATGTAAGTATGTATATAAATCACAAACTAAATTTTCTTTCTTACAATAATTCCTAACAGTTTTTAGTAATTATTTTTCATTAGATATCAAATTTTCGCTTTTGTAGAATCGGGCCAACACTAATGTTATATATAATTTCTATGTTTATTTTACAGTTGTATGTTTCAATTCCAATTTCTTTATATGCTCTTGAATTGTTTTGCATTCCATTTACATGCATACCTTTCCCGCTATACAGTTTCTGTTTCCTTGTTTGTGCGATTTATATGTTTACCATTCTCCCTTTACATAAACAGGTAGCCACAAACTACATATGTTAAGTTATCTACAATAAATGCATGTGGTTTGTAAACTGCAGTGTGCAGTTCCCTTATTCTAATGTGCTGATCTGTACGGTAAATGCCAATATTTATGCATACGAGGGCTGCTATATAGCTGGCTGGCCTAGGCAACACTAAGTGTTGCCAGGTGCAATCTGACATTTCCATTGGAAAGTTTGACATTTTTTAGCATAACATCACTCAGAACGTTTTGTCATTTAATCGTGAATTGTTTTATTTACAGGGAATTAAAAAATTCATCTCGGCCAAAAAATGGAATTAACTAGTGAACATTTTCGTGCGATCATTTTTCAAAACTTTCGATGTGGATTATCACGACAAGAGTGCATCGATGAACTAAAATCTTTGTATGGCTATGAAGAACAATCCTATAGCACTGTGAAAAACTGGTACAACGAATTCAATCGTGGCCGACGCTCGCTCAAAGACGAATTCCGTGAAGGTCGTCCAAAATATTACATATTTTAATTCTTTGTAAGTGCTTTATTTAAATGCTTGTGTAATTAGAGATAAACCAGATATGCGTTAAATTCGCCCCACTTATCGGTGACATTCGCATTTATACATATGTCATATATGTACATTACAAACTAAATTTTCCTTATAAGCATTTATTTGGCCAACATATATATATATGTATATAGTACTACATTATCATTCTTTTTTTTTAACATAAATTTTATAATTTAAAAAGTAAATGGTAAAAGTCCAACTTGATAACTTTCCATCAAAATTTGCAAATATCTAATATGAATAAAAAAGAATTAAAACTATATAATTTTATATTTATTAACTCTCTCTACGTTAGTAACCGCGGTGTATTTGTGTGAATAGCTTAAAAAAAAATCAATATTTCCTTTTAAGCTCTCAAATCGTCGTTTTTTAACTTAAAAGAAAGCTATTTGTCAGTTCTTTTTATACCCTGAACGGGTATATTAATTTTGCCACGAAGTTTGTAACACCCAGAAGGAAACGTCGGAGACCATATAAAGTATATATATAAATGATCACCGTGACGAGCTGAGTTGATTTAGCCATGTCCGTCTGTCTGTCCGTCCGTCCGTCTGTCCGTCTGTATATACGCGAACTAGTCCCTCAGTTTTTGAGATATCGATCTGAAATTTTGAACACTTCTTTTTCTCATCAAGAAGCTGCTCATTTGTTGGAACCGCCGATATCGGATCACTATAGCATATATCTGCCATACAAACTGAACGATCGGAATCAAGTGCTTGCATGGAAAAATTGTTCATTAGATAAAATATCTTCACGAAATCCGGCATTGATTTCTCTCAATGGCATATAGCTGCCATACAAACTGACAATCTAAATAAAGTTCTTATATGAAAACAATTGTTTATGACAAGTTATCTTCACGAAATATGGCATGGATGATGATTGTCCAAGATATCGCTACAATTTTCGAACGAATTGTTCATATCAGACCACTATATTAAACAGCTATCATAGAAACTGACCGATCAAAATAAATTTTTGTATGGAAGTTTTTAGTATGGATTATTGCTTAAGATGTGACTTCAATCTTCGAACGAATTGTTAAGATCGGACCACTATAGCATTCAGCTGTCAGATTTAACCACTTTACAAATAATATATTATAAACAAATCAGATTAATTAATTATTTATACTATCCAATTTGAGCTTTCAATAAAAATGATCTTATATCTGCCAAAAACTGTTTTGCTTGTGCCAAAAGTAAGGTGTGACATGTAGCTAATTGGGACAATAAGTTGAAAAATGTGTTAAGAATAGATACATAAGAGTAAGGAGCAAAAATATTATTTAATTAACCATAATATAAACAAATCCCTAATTATTCAAGATATATTATTATTTATTAATAATAATAGAGAACTATCTTTGTAAAGATAATTATTCACATTTAAAACCCTAATTAACTGATGGGTAGGTACAAACCAAATTTAGGTAGAATAATAGGTAGGAAATAAATAGTTCGAAACGTAGGTAGAAAACATAACCTAGGTAAAAAAAACCTCGATAATGCCCCTTTTGTAGTTAACGCCTTAATATTTCAACTAAAAAAACTTGATCAAATTTGGCATGGATTATTGGCCACGGTAACAATAAAATATCCTAAGAAATTTTTTAGATCTGACTACTGTATCACATAGTTGCCGTACCAAGTGATCGATCTAAATAAATTTGTAAAGTAGAAAATTATGTTAAGAATATATACATAAGAGTAAGGAGCAAAAAGATTATTTAATTACCCATAAAATAAATTAATCCCTAATTATTCCAGATATATTATTATTTATTAATAATAATAGAGAACTATCTAAAGATAATTATTCAGTTTTAAAACCCTAATTAACTGATGGGTAGGTACAAAATAAAACCTAGGTAGAAGAGTAGGTAGGAAGTAAACATAGTTTGCAAGTTAGGTAGAAAGTATAACCTAGGTAAAAAAGAACCTCTACAATGCACTTTCTGTAATTAACACATTAGTTAGGTTAGGTTAGGAGGTCGATCAAATAAGGGATCCCACTTGGACAGCTTAAGACGCCGGTCCGTTGTGATACCTACAAACTCCTATAATCTGGATTAAAAGACCCTTACAAGTCGACGAGACGCATTGTGCTGACTACAAACTTGTTAAGGCGGCCAATATCCATTTTGGATAAGTAT